GATCGTAAAGTCCTGTTTGAGAGCCTTTGGTTTCATCGCTCTCTTCACTCGGACTGATCTTGAATTCACTGTTGAGGTTCGCAAACGCGAAGATAATATGTGTGCAAAGAGTTGGGTCCAAGTGTTCGGGCTCAAACTTGCCAATACCGGGCCTCTTGTTTGACCAGTTGGTGTAATAGCAGACTATTCTGGCATTTGTCTCGTCATCATTGGACAAAGCATTAGATTTAATGGAATCACTGGTAGTTGGCGTCAGATCTGGTTTCTCATGAATTATATTGGACTCAGTGTTGGGAACCGAGACTTTGATTAATGGATTAGACGACGCCTTCTGTACAATTGACTCGAGATTTGACGTGGATTTTGGTCGTCCAATGAGTTCTTCGCCCATAACCTCAATGAGCGGGTACTTCCTTCCGGAGCACTTACCGGTGAAGTCGTCCATATCGACAGTCCATACCATAGCGCCGGCGTAATCATTCTCTAACAGCCATTTAGTCTTAACTCGAATGGATCGCTCGTCATCGAAGCCAACCCATTGGTCTCCATCTACAAGATATGGCACTTTCTGTTCGTCATCCCATATATAAGTGGCGCCATTCTTCATCATTTCGCAGATTTCATAAAATGCTAAGAATCCCGACTCTCGACTGAATTCACCAGCTTTTCCTCCTCCTGATGTCGGGGCATTCATACCGTTGTTTGAAGGGTTGGTTAGAGTGAAACTACGACCTGTTTGCACCAATTATAATGATATTTTGTGGTCAACTTTAATAAAGTGTATAATCATCTAAAATGCATATATCTAACCATAAGTAGCCAGTCCCACAACTATCTTGTCTTTGGGCGCTCCCATTCGTTCCCACATTTTTACACCAAATTCCTAGAATTGTTTTAAAATTTAATAAATTTAGAAATTTAATAAATATAAAATAATCAAGTTATCGTAAGTTCCAAAACTGACCAGGCTCAATTGTTTGCGCCATTCTGTCTCGGATGACATAGAAAACAGGGGTGCGTTGTGTCCAGTCTTTGGCTCCCATTTTCCGTGAAAATCATATGACATTACGTTTAGGAAATCGGCATAACTTTAGAAGAATTATGAAAAATAAATTTCAATTCAAATCTTTAAACCGATGAAAGCATTCATACGCTGCGACTGCGGGCACGTCATAACCGCCGCGAACGGTGTCAGAGCCGGCAGATACGGCGGCCGTCAGTAAAAGTCGCGGCATTTTCTTCTC